CCCTGTCCCCACTTTGCCTCAGTGGCTACTGCCAGTCACCATCTAGCCCCCGCTCACTGGGGCAGACGGCCGTCTGTAAACCACTCATCATCGGCAAGGGGGGTTGGACCAGCTGCCTCTGTCTATTCCTGGGCTGCCCCTCTGCAGCCCCAGTACCCTTTTTGTGGGCCCTTAACTCGGCCTGCAGTCTGGGGCTTAGCTAGGCGGGAGCTCCCCAGCTCCCTCTGCCCTTCCCCAGCACTGCTCCACCCTAGGTACCCTCCTCAGCTTCCCAGACAGCCAGGTCTTCTCTCTCAGAAGCTAGAGAGAGAGTCTGTCTCTCTCTCTCCTTCTGGCGCACAGCCCTGTTATAAGGGCCAGCTGGGCCCTGATTGCACTGGCTACAGCTGTGGCTGCTTCCCCAATCAGCCCAGCTTTTCCCCTGCCACAGCCCTTTCCCAGGGCTGTTTTCAGCCCTTCAGGGCAGGAGCAGGGTAACCACCCCGCTACACAGGGCCATGTGAGAAGTTGCTCACAAAAAAGGGAATTTAAGGTGAATTTTGTTTTCATGTCAGTTTTGCAAAATGTTCTTTTTTCCTTCAGTGGATTTTCGCCATTCGCAAAAGAGACTGTTCTGCCACTGATTTAATTTTGCATTCCATAGATAGAATTTATCTTCTGAGCTGTAGTTCCCCTCACTAATTCATATTTGCTATTATGATACTTTTTCATATTCTGCGCTAGAGTCATGAGCTTGTATTGGGAGGGAGTTTGTAATGGGTTACGGAAGTCCATGACTAGGCATTATGATAATATTAATAAATAATAATAATAATAGCCACTGTGATAAGAACTACATATTTCCCTCCAAGCTTTAACGAGAGCCAAAGCCTTAGCTTTAGCTCCCAGATGAAAAGATTCTTCTCCTTTCAGTAATATACCAAAGAGATGATGAGCTGCCTCTTTCTCCAGACAGTCTGAGGTGTATGTGACTGAATTGCAAGAGGCATACAAATTACCCACTAAGGTCAATGATATTGGTATATTATTGATAGCTTCTGTCTATTTAAATGGCACCTCAATGGTGAACTTCAGCAGTGTTTCTGAATCATTCTCAGCCTTGCTATCACCGCAGACTCATAAGATGCTGCTCCGGTACAAGAACAGAAAATAAAGTTAAGAATGATTAGATAACTCCTTCACTTCAATCTCACTGTTCCTGTTTCGTTGTTGAAAATACAGTAACGCTGCTGCAAAATGACGTGCCCCTAGAAGACACAGAGAAAGGCATGTAATTGGATATGGCCCTTCTGTGTGTATGGTGACCAGACAGCAAGTGTGAAAAATCGGGATAGGGGGTGGGAGGTAATAGGAGCCTATATAAGAAAAAGACCCAAAAATCGGGACTGTCCCTATAAAATCGGGACATCTGGTCACCCTATCTGTGTGTGTGTTTTGATTTTGCTGGCTGTGAAATATGTATAATGCTTTGCCTGTTAGAGAATTCACTTGTGTCTACCCATGCTCAGGTGAGGTAGGATGCAAGGAGGCTTGTGCTCATGGCTCTGGGTTTTTGGTCCCTACTCCTTTCCATACCAGCCAGTGGGGGTCATGCAAGGGAGACACTGCATCCTGTAAAAAGGAGTAGCAGTGGAAGATACTGAGTCCTTCTACAGTGCTCCACTTCTGCAGTATTATTGGCATGCTGCATATGAGCAGGTTAACAATTAACAGAAGCTGACTGTATGCAGAGATGGGTATAAATCAAGACCCTGGATCCAAATGCTGCTGCACTTTGGGAAAGATTGGATTGCAGTGCAAATTTTGCAGCTCAAGCCCACCTCTAATTGTGGAGTGTGCCATCATGGATCTGACTCCACACTGCAATCGTGGCTAGGTGTAGTTTCTATCTGCCGTAGACCTTTTATATATACTTCAGCATGTGGGTAGCTACAACGGATGGAAAAGTCCATGAATTCAAGACATGGTGTGGCAAGAGAGGTGATGTACGTTGCATTCCCCATTGTATTGAAATAGATTGTGTGTTCGTGTCAATGGCTCTCACAGCAGACTTCTTTTTCATGCCATACCCCTTTGGGGGTTTGATACAGTCCATCCATGTCAAAACCAGAGACATTTGATAGCAATAGATTTGAAAAGGGACACAAAAACAATCCATTCTTGTGCTCCAATAGTGGCATTCACCCCTGTGTAAAGGTCTGGCACACCACTTAAGCCCTATTTTAAGGGCGTAAGTGGGACTTAAATGATTCATAGGATATGTCCTGTCCCTCTGCAAAGGGGTGAATTACAGCCCAAATGATTAATGTCATTTGTGTTAGTAGCAGTTAGAGACTCCAAAGCCCTTGTCTGACACTACTGATGCCACTGGGAGTTTTGCCACATCCAGCAGTGCAAGTAGGGTGGTACAGTACGGTCCGCTGTACCACCAAGATATTTATAGCTGATACTGTGTACCAGAAAGAGGAGGAGCAGAACGTCCTCTGGCGCAGCTGTACCGCCCCAGCTGTTCCATGCAGGGTCTCCTCCATCTGTACAGCAGCCCTGCCGGAGCACAGGACTGGGGGCTGTACAGCCGCACCGGAGGAGCTGTGGGCATGGGGCTGCCTGGTGGCCCCATGTTCTGCTCCTTTCCCTGCTGCGGTTCCTGGGAGAGAGCTGTGGTTCAGAGCTCGCCCAGGAACCACAGTGGGGAAAGGAGCAAAATCCCCAGCCCTGCCTCCTGCCCTTCCACAGAGCTGTGTCTCCTCTGGCTCCATCTGTACAGCGGCAGCCCCACCAGAGGACAGGGCTAGGTGGGGTGGGGCTGGGGGCAATACAGCCACCGGAGGCACTGCCGGCTTTCTGCTCCTTTCCCTGCTGCGGTTCCTGGGAGAGCCCTGAACCACAGGGCTCTTCTGGGAACCGCAGCAGGGAAAGGAGCAGAACATGCCCTATGCCAGCAGCTCCTCTGGTGGGCTGCTGTACAGACCCTGCATGGAAGGGCTGGGGGTGGTACAGCTGCACTAGAGGTGCTGCGGGCAATGGGCCGCCCAGCAGCCCCATGTTCTGCTCCTTTTGCTGCTGCGGTTCCAAAGTCTCCAGCGCAGTGGGAGGAGGACAGAGCTCCCCCTCCCCCAGGTAAGGGAGGTGGACCATGAGGAGGGGATGGGGAGAGTGTGGAGGGCCTGGGCTGGGGGCAGGGCGGGGAGGAGTTACGTAGAGGGCCTGACTCATGATTTTTGAACGTTTGGGTGGGCAATTCTGAAATAGTCAAAAGTAATGAAGAACTGAGTGTAGAGTCATAATTAGCTAGACAAGTGCTTTTATGGAAAATTATCTGACTAAGAACATTTAGGATAATATTTTCCTTAAAAGCTCACCATTGGTATAAATCTGATTCTGTTGAAGTCAATAGTAAAACTTCCATGGGAGCAGTTAAACCAACACTGAACGCTTTTCGAAAGCCCATTCTAAACGTTACATATAAATAGGAAGAACTGCTCAGTGCCCGTTGATTTGTACTTCAACAAATGAAGAAACTGAAATCCTGCCAAGACAGTGGTATTTTCCCACCCAGCTCATGACATTAAGCAGGGTTTCATGTTTATTGTTTCAGAGTTAGCGGTATCATATGTTAAATCCTTTTTTTAAAGTATGCTGTAGTTTTCTTTTATAAATTAAATTGTTTACTCAAGACACACAAGAATGAAAAACCAAAGGTAACTTATTGACATACCATTTAAAAATAATTTATCCCAAGTTTAGTTCCTGAAATCATAGTTACATAAATATGGTAGGTCCTATGTAAATTTGAAAATAGATTTATGGATCATATACATGCTAATTAACAAGTTGTCTGAAAGAGTACCTTGCAGCTGAACTGTCTATTACCCACAGCAAAAATAAAACTGAATAATCAGCCAGCAGAGCCTATGACACAACAGTGATTGAAAGGTCTGTTTGTTGTTTTTTCCCCCTATTTCTATAACTCTTTCAAGCTTAGATTTCTTCAGCAAAATAATAATTTCTGCCTCCATCCTTCTTTCACCCTAGAATATTCCCATAGACACTGTCCAATCTAATTTCCATACAGGCTGCACAGACACTTTTAGATTTTAATTTGCATTCAACTGGCAGATGCAGTCTGCACAGAGGCGTTTTGCATTTTTTTTTACAACTTCATGGTAGCCTGCTTTCTTATTCTGTGTTTATCTTTGGGAAAAAAAATTGACAAGGTTCCTTTTTAAAACTGACATTTTGTTTTCATTGGAATGAAAAAAGTAAACTTACCGTCAATGGAAAATGCTTATCGTCCCCCTAGAAACCTCTTTCCTCCTATTCCTTTCTATCTTTTCTGCTGTAAAATCTTTATTTTATGACTAAACAACAACAAAAACAACTTACCACTCATGCCTGCAACCTTTTGTTGCTAGAAACACTGACAGTGAAAAATAATTTCCCCCAAAATGTACTTAATTCTCCTCTGCAGTCTACTTCACAAAAATCCATTCTAGGATGTGATAATGCAGGTATTTTTGTTTTCTAGGAAAACATCATTCTAAGGAGTATTTTATTTCTTGTTCAATTATTATCAGGCTGCGATAATGATTTTTCCCTTCTGTCATTCTATAGCATCTTAACAAATTCTAAAATGGAATTTCCAGAATTCAAATAACCAGAAGGCATAATGTTAATTTCAGGATCACTCTATGAAAAGCACCTGGTTCATTTTCCTGTCTCTTTTCTGCAAAAATTATCCAAGTATCCCACCTACTGCATAGCATTATAGTCATAGTTGGTTTGCTTTATGCAGTTCAACAAATTATTTTGCTTACTGCTGCCAGGAGGGATAACAGCACTGGTTAACATGATGGTATAGATTAAGCTGACAATAATTCAACTGGGTTGCACAAACTGACTGAACTCTGCTGTCTAGGTTAAATAAAATATTGAAGAACTGCAAAGTGTATCACATTGTCAATAGTCTGCGTTTGTGTCTGGTGTGTTGGTATTTACAGTGATGAAGCTCCAGGCAGCCAGCTGGTTACAGATAAGTTTCACGTTGACTGGGATTCGGTGCTTGTCAACTCTGATAATGTCATCGTAGCTCGATTTGATGGCAGAGGGAGTGGATTTCAAGGCCTTAAAATTCTACAGGAAGTCCATCGTTGCTTAGGTTCAGTGGAAGTGAAGGACCAAATAGCAGCTGTAGAGTACGTATGTGCAAACTTTGCTTCTATTTTAATCCATTTTTACCTTGATGAATAGACACATTTAACTGCAAATTTTCAGCTATTACTGGTCTCCCTTTGCAGAATGAAATATGTTAAATGCTTATCTTTAGTGCAGTAGCACGTTTCGAAACATTAGGCTTTTCATTGCAAAGTGTGATTCAATGAATAAAAAATCAAAGGGAAAAATGTTTTGGATTGATGTTCCTCTTTGATAAAGTTGTCCTTCCGGGCCTAATCTAAATGTGTAATCTAATCTAGTTTACATATTTTTTCTAGCTTCCTTAGAAAAATGACTCACGGCATGATATACAGTGCTTCATTACAAGTGAAATAATGTCTTAGACATATAGGGTCAAATTCTGCTCTCACTTAAATCACTGTAGATCTAGAGGGCCTTCACTAAATCACCAGAATTACAATAATGTAAATGCGAGCAGAATTTGGCCAAAGGGTTATTATCCCACTTGCATCATCAGTTTTAGCATGGGTAACTCCATTGCCTGGAAGAGAGTTACTGCAGATTTATACCAATTTAAGTAAGAAGAGAATCGGGTCCCTACTATATATTTACATGTAAAAATGTGATAACACTTTTTATTAAGGGACCACTCCTAGAAAGGTTAATCTCATTGATTGCATGGTATTTTAAAGATGGATGGATTATTACCTACATTCATGTACTAAGTATTCTCTTGTATTATTTGGACAATTTTAGAATGATATGTTTTACATTTCTGAAAGTCATCTGTAATCCCTGAAGACAATGAAAACATTAACTGACTATGGGTCAAATGGCTACATCCTGAATGTTAGTGGAGTTGCAAAGATGTTGAGGCTGAGTGGAAGGACTCTCTCCTCCATATGCAGACAGAAAGCTTCACAAAGTGCCTCACAGGCTGTTGAAAGGAGCAGCTTGCTTCTTCCCACCTCCCTATCCCCCTTCCCTTGGTGCCTCACAATGGCAGATTTGCAGAGCATGGGAGGGACCATGGCCACATTCCCAATTGGATGGATGAGGCCTCCTTTGGGACATGGAGCTCTAATAAGCATTCTAATTGGCTCCACATCTTAATTCTAAGAGTTCTTCTACATCAGAGTTGTGTGTTCATGAGCTCAGAGTCATTACTCCGTGTTTTATCTGGTTTTGGTGTGGGTGCACCACTGAGCAGGAGGGTATGCAGGGTGGCCCTGAGAGTTCTTTCTCTCTTGATGCCATTTCTCTCTGTATGCTGTAGAACTTTGCCTGAAATTTGTAGTCTCTCTTCTGTATATTATCCTTCTGGAAGCATAGTTGATGAATTACCTCTGTGGGAGGATTCATAATTTTGATAATTGCCAAAACACAAGGCCTTCATCATGTAGGGTAGGGAATCTGAAAGCAAAACTGCAAGACTTCACTAAAATAACACCTTTTACTGTTCTTATTTGAACTCTTAAAAATCTGTTTCTCGCTTAGTTTATCACAATTCTTTCTTCTACAAATAACCAACTCCACACATTCTGGAGAGTCATATGTAACATTTCCTTTTTTCTTACAGATCATTACTGAAACAACCATTCATAGATCCTAACCGACTGAGCATATTTGGAAAGGTAACTTGCAAAAATAGCAGAAGGACACTGTCAATTTTAAAATCATTTGTTGCAAACAGATTTCTTTACGTATTTTGCAAATAACCATTTTTGTTACTAACAATGAAAATCATATTTACTTGTCATTATTTAATATTGATTCAATTTGTTTCTCATATTGAACAATTAGCAGCTAAGGAGTCAGTTTCACTTTTGTTTATAGTCACTCTCACTTTCAGTTCTTATTGTTGCAAAATTTGCCTCTCAGATACTGCAGGGGAAAATGTTGATTATTGAGGGGGGGAAAACTGTTTTTCAATTGGAAGTTTTTTAAAAGAAATTTGTGGAAACATTTCTTTTGGTCTTAGTTTCTGTAAAAGCTCATTTCTTGCACAATTTAAATTCTAGTCCATATTTAAGTTGTCAGTGTCCCTTTAATTCACAATTTATATGCAGACATTTTTAGCTTTTTGAGTTATTTGAGATACGATCCTAGAGTGTTGAGTAGCACCCTTTTTTGTGCCATCTCATAGAAGTCTCCCCTTTGCTGTTTTGTCAGCTGTTTAGCTTTGTTATATGCTGTTGCCTCTGGCATCGTACAGACCCAGGCAAAGGTTTAACCTTTAGCAAAAAGTTAAAGAGAATCTTAATTATCTCGCTTGAAACGAGCTTCTAGATGTTTAACAAGCGACGAGTTGTATCTTTGGAAACTGACATTTGTTCCTTTGTGATATTTAGTTTTAAAATGTTACCTTGAAAATGTCAATATTTTGTGTCTTTAGTACTTTAAAATCTCACAGTGAAAACAAACAAACAAACAAACAAACAAACCATGGCTGCTCACATATACAGGCACCATGGTCATCATTTATTGAAGCAGTATGCATTCACTATGAAACCCCTAAATTCTAATCCCCACTCTGTTACTGTCTTGCTGTGTGGCCATAGTCAAGCCATTTAACTTCTGTGTCTGACTTTGGCTGTCTGTCAGATGGGGATGATAATACTTACTTTCTCAGAGCTAGCATTGTGGGAATTAGTTAATGGTTGTGCAGCCTAGTGAAAATAAAGTGCTGACTATTATTAGTGTTCCACATGCAACAAGACCTTCCTCTCCAAACACATGACCTCCTACTGTACTACTTGAGCTAAAGAAAAAAAAATTGCTGTCAAAATTCGTTAGCATCTGAGTTTATACTGTTTGTAGGCCAGTCACAAAAAAAGAAAACATTTTCAACTAGAGCTGGTTGGGGGTTTCCCAACAAGATGTTTAGTAAGAAAATGCAGATTCATCAAATTGAAATGTTTCACAGCACATTTTGCAGGCGGGGCCAGCCTTATGATTCTGTGAGAGCCAGGGCAGTCAGCTGCTCCATTTGGTTTCAGGAAAAACATGAATTGAAATGGTTCAATTTTTTTTCCTAAATGTTTTATTTTGTATTTCCTTTCAGAGGAAATTTTCTAGTTTTTGTTCTGGAAACAAAAACAAAAAAAAGTTGACATTTTGCAAATTCCAACAGAATGGACATTCTGAGTGTTGACCAGTTCTATTTCCAGTTAATGAAATGTAATCATGACCAATTCCATCCACTAGGGGTGCACATCTCTCTTAGCCATTTTTAATGTGCACACAGGCATATAACACCATGTCAGGGGTCGGCAACCTTTCAGAAGTGGTGTGCCGAGTCTTCATTTATTCACTCTAATTTAAGGTTTCGCGTGCCAGTATTTTTAGAAGGTCTCTTTCTATAAGTCTATAATATATAACTAAACTATTGTTGTATGTAAAGTAAATAAGGTTTTTAAAATGTTTAAGAAGCTTCATTTAAAATTAAATTAAAATGCAGAGTCCCCCGGACCTATGGCTAGGACCCAGGCAATGTGAGTGCCACTGAAAATCAGCTTGCGTGCCGCCTTTGGCACGCCTGCCATAGGTTGCCTACTCCTGCACTATGTCTTTCATACACACACACACACACACACACACACACACACACACACACACCTCGCTCCAAGTGGGCCAGAGTCTGTCTTCTAGCATGACAAGGTGGTCACACAAACACCATGCATAGTAGTCAGCTAATGCAGTTGCTTCTGATTTAAGTAATAGATTTCATTTATATTCCTTAAGTCTTTATTTGTTATTGCTCAAAAACTCCCCACGGGCCTTTACTACTTCATTAAGAAGAACACTAGAAAACATAAGTATCATCTTTTCAAACCAGCAATGAGATGATGAGAACTACAAAATAGCATAGATCTGAGCAGGCTTTTACATGTCCACATAGGGCCATGAACACTGTTGGTGCTGTGTAAGTGTTTCTATCCACTGGAGAACTGTGATGTCCTTTCAAAAAACATTGTTGCCAGACGAGTTTATGCATATGTTGGCTGAAAGAACAGGTGGTGCAAAGTGAAGATTTTGAAGGTGGAACAGTAAAGAGGAAATATTAGCAAATTAGATAAACTTCAAAACAGTTTTGAATTTGGAAGTGTTTACCCTCACTCAGTTTAACTTACAAACTTCAAAGTTTTTGAGGTTTATCCATCACTAATAAAAATATTAAAAATCCCCAAATAGCCATTTAGAAATAGAAAAATTGCTAAATATTACTAATCATATTTGACTCCACTATATTTCTTTTAGAGCCAATTGAACGTCTTTTTATAGGCTCATATTGCCTTCAACAATATGAAACACTGTTGGCAAAGAACCTCTTTTTTTCCTTTATATGCACTACATTTTTGATGATCTGACTAAGAAAGTGAATAGAAGATGCCCTTTGCTGGAAGAGGAAGAGGATTGTGTGGATTACCTAAGCTGATCTCAACCCAGCTGGGCACACACATATGTCCTGGAACTCTCCAGCATCCTTGAGTGTTATAACATGCTTTTGAGCTACTCAGAACAAAGTCATGATAAATTCCGCAATATAAACTACTAGCAGTAATAACGAAAACAACTGGAATGTCAAGAGGGCAAAGTGTAAAAAACACACAACTCTGTCTATCAGACAGCCCACCAAAACTATCTTGCTCACTTGCAGAAAAGTTACAAACCCTACCAATGAAGTACATCAAAAGAGTCTCTTTTAATTGTTACATATCAAACTGTGATGATATATAGTTTACAACTTTCCATCATGGAAATTGAAAATGAGCTTGAAAGTATGACTGTGTAGCTAACCAACTTGTGGAAAATTTGGTAGTAGAGGTGAAGCCACAGAAATTTAACCTAAGAACAGGAAGTCCAGATTCTTAAATCATAAAAAACCAACTAAATATTGTATAACCATTGAGGGAAACTATACATGTTATATGTATGTCAGGGGAATCATGGCTGGAAGCAAAGGCACAACCCCAAAGACAAAATATTCCCAACAGAACTAAACTTGGTTCTTAATGAAGACATGATATAAATTGTGAATAAGTTGGCAATACCTATCTAGCATTAAAATTGTGCTGTGAAACTACTGCAAAAGGTACAAGCAGAATATTAAACAAACGACCAAGAAAAAGAGAACCCGGAGGCAGAAAAAAGTTACTGTTCCCTTCAGCTCTTTGAATTATACAAGTTACTGGCACCCACATCAACATTCTCTCTTAGCCAAAATCTTTTACAATGTGTGGGCAATTTTGTGTTCTCTTTAGCAATTTAGGCTAGGATTTCTATGAGAATTGGGCACCTAATTCTTTTAGGCTTCTTTGAAAATCCCAGTCTTATTCTATATTTTCTTCTCTGTACCCAGTTCGCATTGACAAAGTTCTGAGCCCAAGAACACACTTTTTGATGTATCTCTTTTTCCTTAACTAAGATTTAACAACATTTTAAAAATGCTCCGAGAATTCAAGAAAGATGAACTTTTTTATTAACCATTTTAGAACTGAAGAAAAGGATATAGAAAATCATCTCAATAAGACGTAGATGAACCCTGGCCAACTGTCTCCATTACTTTTTGTTCAGTGCCCTTCTGCTGGATTATTTTTTGCAGAGAATTATCATGCAAAAAAACCAAAAACAACAACAAAACATCCAACATCAGAAGGGCAATTTTCCAGCAATAATCAAGAGAGAAAAGATAACAGCCCTTCTAAAAGAAACACAATGAATATTGTGTAAAAGCATTGCACCTGGCCTGCAGGACCTTGAACTCCATCTTTTAAGACTCTGGAGTTAACCTACAAGTATTTCATATAGATTGTCAAATTCATCGGAAACAAAACCCTAGTGGATAGTCTCAAATAAGAGGACTCATGTTCACACTTCTCTTCTGCATACCACCCTATCCCACCAATAGAGGATGTTTTCAGACACTCTGCACAGTACCTTTCAGGGTGGTGAGATGTGAAGAGGTGGCTTAAACCTCATCTTTGCACTCCTCTGATCTTGCTGCTGCTCTGTGCAGGCCGTTCCCCCTGCACTGCAGTGCAGCAGCCTGAGGGCTGCTTGAACACATCTACTGTAGCCACAGAAATAAAGAGCATTGAGCTTACTGGCCACCTTTCTTATAGCCACATATCTTTTTGGCCAGGGCAGCAGAATGCTTATGGCAGGATATATCACCAGAGAGTCTCCCACCCACATGCGTGATCTCTGCTCCATTTAAGGCAGCACTAGGACTAGTTTCTGTAGGGCAAAGTGCACCAGAGAATGTGACTCTCTCTAAGGGGAATGTGACGTTTCAGGCAGAAATACCCATTGAAGGCAATGGGAATCCATCTATAAAGACTGAAGTCTAGAGAGAGGACCGGTGACAGCTCTCCTTCTTCCATAGCCTCAATCTATAGCCTAGGTGTTTACCCAGAAATAAGCAAAAAATCTTCACAAAATATATTCATGTAAACAAAAATTATCCCAACTAAGCACTGTCTCTGACACCCTTAGCTTCAATTTTTTTATTTGTATCACTCGCCAATTCTTCTGCAGGCTGAGGGCTAGACTGCACAATGAGACTATGGTATCTTATATACCTCTTCTTAGTCTTATTAATTAAATTATCAATTATAACATATTTTTAAAGCCTCAGGCTTCATAGCAAGACAGAAATATCACACCTTTTTTCACTCTTCATTTGTAGGTTTTTAATTCATGCTAAAGCAATAGTTGCAGGTGTAAATACTGTGGAATGACATGAGAAAAGTAGCATGATACCCTTTAACTTCATCTATATTAAGGAACAATGAACAAGAACAAACAAACAGCAAATCATGTTATCTGGTTTAATAGGGATATGGCGGATACATTGCATCAATGATCCTGAAATCCAATGAAAGACTTTTTAAATGTGGAACCGTTATTGCACCAATCACAGACATGAAGTTGTATGGTGAGTATTTCCCATCTTGCCCTTTTATTAAATGATTTGCTTAAAATATCTATACAGCAGATCTGTAACTCAGGTTAACTAAGGTCAGGTAGTGTAGTGGAACTGTATTAAAGCTAGGCAAATTGGACATATGGTTCCAATTTTAAAATGAGGGTAATTAATGACCGGAGCAATTAAGCATAGGATGTGGTAGATTCTCCATCACTTAGAGGTCTTTAAGATTTTTCAAAAGAAACTAAATCAGTGGAAGTTGGGTACCTAAATCCCTTAGGCCCCTTTAAAAATCCCAACCTAAATGAATATTGGATGTCTTTCTAACAGATATGAGGTGAAATCCTGGCCCCATTTAAGTCAGTGGCACTAATTGACTTCAGTAGGGCCAGGCTTTCACCATACTTTAGTTCAATCACAAGATATTGGGCTCAGTGCAGGAACTGTTGGGTAAAGTTCTGTGGCCTGCATTATGCAGTGGTCAGACTAGATGATTATAATGCTCCCTCTTGGCCTTAAAGTTTATTAATCTCTTTTCAAGATGAAGATACTTACCATCTTTATGGCTTAACAAGCTTCTCCTGGCTTTCAACCAGAAATAAAGATTTTTAAAAATGGAATTTATCTTAATTAACTGAATTTCCTGTTTTCCTCTGTAGCTTCGGCTTTTTCAGAAAGATACCTTGGCATTCCATCTAAAGAGGAAAATACGTATCAGGTAAGTTAGTTTAACAAGTAACTAAAAGTAATGGTTTGGCTTTTAAAATATACTGCAATTATGTTGTGTGTGTTCAATTTTTATAGGCATCCAGTGTACTGCACAATATTCATGGTTTAAAAGAAGAGAATTTGCTAATAGTTCATGGGACAGCTGATAGTAAGTATTTATAAATGCAATTAAATTTGCAGTTACAGCTTGTAATACACAGATGCTCAAAGAAAGATTATGCACGTAGCAAGCATACACATTTTTATACTGTTCATCTTTGTCTCCCGTATAGTAGGATTGTCCATCCAAAGAGACCTGATGTCAATTTCAGTTGCCAATTGTAAATCTGAATGGATGACATTTTCCTTTGCTACATATTTGTAACTCTTAGCTGCTGTAGGTTCTAATTTGTTTAAATCTGGTGAAGCAGGATGTTGCTAGTGAAAGGCACTGTATCAATTATTAATAAGGTGACATACATTTTTAATGGTCTTTTAAATTAATCCTGATTTTGCGATTGAAAGCATACCGAATGTCAGCGTAATCAGTGATAAACAATATCTTTCGGTAAATTAACCCTTTGGTTAATTAATGAAAATGTAACAATGGGGAATCCTTAAACTATTTAGAGCTAGATTGTAATTTGCTCTTGAGCATAGTCAATGGAGTTAACACCAGTATAACGTGTGTATAAGTGAAACCAGAACCAGGCGCAGCACCTGCAATGGAAATCCATGGGTGCCAGGCAGCAAAGAATTTGACCTGTGCCAGTTGACAAGCAATTTTCTTTGAGTATATTTTGCTGTTCATGGTAAAGGGATAAATAGTGACTTGGATTCCAAGATGATCTAGGGTACTAAAATGGATTTTATGCCTTGCACAGCCTGCCTAGATCACATACATGTTTGTTCTGCTCCTCTCAGAACAGGTGGGTGGGGAGGAATGGAAATGGACAGAGACAATGTGCTTGTCGACCCGGCAGAACTGTAATGGGAGACTTGGAATTTGCTGCTGGTATAGGCCAGCAGCAAAGTACTACCCCTCCGTCCCCCAGACCCAGGGGGAATTAGGGAGGGAATTATGTCTATACGAGGTGTCTGAGTAGCACAGTGCCTAGTAATACAGTCTAGCCCATCCGTATTTACTGAACCCCAGTATGAATGAGTGTGAATGAAGCAAACACAAGCATAGTCACAGAGCTGCATGTTTGTACCACAAGAAGTTTAGATTATTGAAATAACATTACAAAAGGCTCATTTCCTAAATGAACACAATCTCTTACAATCCTGTGCAAACAATAGAAAATCTGACATGCTTTCATTTAATACACTGACAGATTAATTGCATTTGAACACACCCATGCTACTCGCTTTCAAACTATTTTAGTCCTTGCTAAACAATGGATGAAAAACAAGAATTCCTACTTAGTGCCCAGAAAGTATACTGTATTACAGTGCTGTCCATCACTGCAGCACTATTGTTATTTGCTACGGTATGTATCTCAGGTGCAGTCAGAAAGGGTATGTCTACATTGCAATCATTGGTGTGACTGTAGCATGTATAGTTTTGATCCAACTAGCTCAAATAACAATAGCAGTGAATCCACGACAATACAGGTAATAATATGGGCTGTACAGGTCTACCCAGGACAGGACCCTGAGCGTGTACTCAATCAGCCAGCCCATGCTGGGTAGATCAAATCTATCTGGGGAGTGTCTAAATGTGCTGCAGTCACGCTTCTGATTGCAGTGTAGATAGACCTTAATCAATTGCAAATCTGGTAGCAGTTTGCCACATAAAGAAACTTTTTGGTTGAAGTTACCTAAAGGAAAATAAATAAATACAATTAATAAATAAGTACTATAATAATGTTGTTCACTAATATGTAGATGTTATTGTCTTGTAGCTAAAGTCCATTTCCAACACTCAGCAGAACTAATTAAACATCTAATAAAAGCTGGAGTTAATTACACTATGCAGGTATGTAATGCTCAGGTGTCTCACAGGTGCATTGTTCAGTCTTTAATCTCACCTCTACTTATCTATGTAGGGGCTCATTGGGTAACTTGTGTCCCCACCCAGCATACAGTAGAATCATCAGTGACTGCAGTTAGAATGCTGTCTAACCCCTTGTCCTGATAGTTAGTAAAGAAGTCAAGGAGAGATCCCTGTGACACTTCAAGTCAATACACTGATGATCCATGAGGCACTGGCTGGTCACATAGTACTGATTTTCCTCATTTTCAGCTGCTAAAAATATTGCATTAAAAGCAGCTAAAAATACTGTAACAGGCTTCCTCTCCCGCACTGTGTGGGTTGCAGGTGGGTGTAGTTTAAGAGAGCAGCTTGGGGAATGGAAAGTGGAGCCAAGTGTTATTTTGTGGGGTGGAGCTGCTGGTCACCAGCTCTGTGGCCTGGATTTCCCTCTCAAATCCCGAAGTCCCTTCTCTGTCCTTGCACAGGAAAAGTGCCCATTATTTGGGGGCTGAGGAGACGACACTGATTATTTACGTTCACCATGAGGGCAGGTGCTGGGCTTTGGATGAGGTAGAGAAATCGTTAGTAATATAAAAAGGTCTTCCGTTGAATACTTTTCTGAACACAATATCTGAGAATAGGCTTTTACGGCTAAAGATCACGATGCAGTCATTTAGTGCTGGTTTTGAATCCCAATCAAATGAATTTTGCTTTGAAGTTTATTACTTTCATTGATACCATAAAACTATTTAACATAGTCATCCTGTTGTCAACTAAAAAGCTCTAAAAATCAGACTGAAAAAATTAGAGCCCTAAATATCTGAACTGATTTTTAAGACTGTTTACTTTCTCCTTTTCCTCTGCTAGATCTACCCAGATGAAGGTCATAACATTGCATCTGAGAAAAGCAAATATCACCTTTACAGCACAATCCTTGGGTTTTTTAGTGCTTGTTTAAAGGAGGAAGCCCCAATTTTACCACAGGAACCTGAAGAGGATGAATAAGGAAGCCTGTTTGTACAGTACTGAAGGGAGACTTACTTTGAGGCTCAATAAAACCTTAAATAAAAGAGACTGTAAGAGTGCAGATTCGGCAGAAGCTCAAGGGCAGCTAAAGGATATAACAGTGGAACAGCACATTTAGAGACACTGAGCTAATAAACTGGAATTTGAATTCAAAGTCCAAACATATTACCGAGGGACAAAACGTATCCCTTTGTGGAAGGACAACGGTTGGTTACAGTTTCCTGGACAAACTTAGTTTTGCATAAGTGTAGAGTTAGTGCATGTTTATTATGTTAAGCCTCACTGTTTGTTCTGTAAGTAGTTGCTCTGTTTTTAATTTAAATGCACATCTTTATCCATTTTTGCATTATGCTCTACCAATCATAAATATTAAGGCCACTTATATTTTAAAAGGTGAGTTGCAATCTAATACTTTACTGTAACATTACAATAAGTGCAATTCCTTTCCTGTCTATTAAGCATAAGAAAGCATTGAGTTAATAAAGGATGTGATATTTTCTATAGTTTCTGTTTAAAGGGGAAATATTGTCCAGTGGGCTATATAACATAAGTATAAAAACTGATTTTGTTTTATTTATTTATTTTAATTTCAGGCATTTATTATCGTTATTGTACCTATTAGTAACCAGTAAGGGCATTTTTGGGAGTGCACTCTTGGTCTTTATGTATATACACAAGACTTCCTAAGCAGAAAATCTTTGTATGCTTGAATAATTTTTCAAGCCATAATTAACAGCTGTGTTTTAACAATGTCTGCAATTGAAATACTTCCCCAATCCAAAATGTATCATTTCCATAAGAAATGTTTGGGTTGTGTTTTGGTATTGTTTATAGTAGTTAATAGTTTGCTGGTTATACTCTAATTTTAGAATATGCTACTTTGTCAGATGTAAATTAGATACATAAATATTAAATTATAGTTTCAGATAAAGAAATTTTATTAACAAAGTAATGCCATTGAGTAGTATTTTACCCTAACAAAGAAATCTTTGCTCAGATTCCATTCTAATTTCTGTCGAGGTAGCAGGTAACTGGAACAGTCTGTCAGTTTTTATTTGGTATTCCACATCTGCTCATTAAGAAGGATTTACATTCAACAGTGTTACGAAGAAATGAAATAGTTTTCATCCATGGCCAAGGAAGCTCCTGACAAATGAAGTTTTGTTATTTTATTCAGATGGAGATACCAGAATGCATCCATTTATTTGTCAAGGTGAATTACAGCACTAGAAATTGACGCTATGAAATAAACAAACCAGTCAACATAGGTCATCAGAATATTAACATCAACAATTGAAAATCAAACATTATGTTCATTTAATATTAGGTATGTTCCAGAAGGGATCTGAAGGCTCTTGACAAATGCTGTGCAACTCACATAAATACATATGTAATTTTTTCTCTGGATATTATTTATTAATGCTTTTCTACGTGGTTAGGATTTCATTTCTTGTGAGATTAAAATTAAAGTAATCAACATAATTTTTGGAAAGTAACTTATACTATTTAAAATGCAAAGTTTTGCATATTTTATGAAGAATTAAAATTGTTTTTAAGGTACATTGAAATTCATCTGAAGCTTTTTAATCAATATTTTCTTCTGGAATATTTTCTTCTTCAACTGCTAGAGTTTTTTATGATGCAAATAATTAAGTTGTCTGAAAGATATGGTTTTATGGAGCACTTAAAAGTATTTGTCTATTAATGTTTAGTATTTACTTTGTTTTACTAGCAATTTTTATCTATTTTCAATTAGTTTAATACACTTTTAATGTGCAATGACATCCTGTCTGGGTCCCAGTGTGACCGCAAAGTCTGAGTATGTCTGCGGTGGAGAATATGGAAACACTCTTATGTACTAGAAAAGATGTCGTGAAAAATTTGAGAAAATCAGTTTCTTCAGCGGCAACAAGCAAGAAATCAAACACAGACCTACCAACTCTGCTTATACTACAGGAGCAGCACTTCAACTTATTAAACAATTGGGATTTGTTCTTGTAAATTTACCCAGATTATGTCCTTCGCCATTTTCCTTTGATATGCTACCATGAACCGAATTTTCCTAATCGAACACAATGGGTAAAATCCTGGCCCCACTGAAGTCAATGGGAATTTTACCATTGATTTCAATGGGGCCAGGCTTCCACATAATAAGTGCACACATAAGGCCTGCATCTGGATGTACAAACAAGTGCGCTCAGTGTATGCACTCGTGACTGGATGCCCCCCATGCCTTCACATGACATCTGCACATGGTCATGCACTCTGAACATGTGCCTGCTTTTTATCTATGAGACAGCAGGCATGCATTCAAATTTTCATTTTTAATACATTCAATATTTTTCTTATTAAGCCACAAACCCATATATTTCCATTGACTTTTCTTTACAACAGTCTAACACTCAGACATAGGCTGAGCATCAGACCTTGGGAGAAGGTTTTATAAATGAAATTATTATCCACCAGTTCAATTTTGGTAACGCATTAGTGATCAACAATCCAGTCTCCGAATCTACCTAAAATGAAAAAAACAAACGTTTTTTTGTCGGCAGCTATCTTTGATCACACTAATTCAGATTTAGTTTTTAATCTTATGAACATCTTCGGAATTATTCTGGGTTGTATAATGTTGGGTTCCTTTCACTTGCTGTATTGGCACAACCGGGTATTGTTATGTAAATAGAAGCCTGTAGGTAACTAATGACTTATTATTAGTTATTTGTATTTAAGGAGCACCTAAAGGCCACAGTCAGGAACTATAACCCAGTTGTGCTAGTTACTGTACACATGAATGGTCCAAAGAGCTTGCAGTCTAAGTACCCCATCCATTTCTAACCACTATGGAAATATTTTAAGGCCAGAAAAACTACTACTAGATTCATCCTCCTTTTAAAACGTGACCTTTTTTTAGATTATACCTGCTATTTTGGAATGGACAATAAAATCAGAATCTATCCATTTACTCTCCAACAGTTTATATAGCTTAACCTTCAAAATTTGTTCCTGATCTTCTCTCTCCTAGCTATCATACTGGGACTTGCAAGACCCATAAGAATCATGGGTCAGATTGTGATCTCAATTATACAATGAAATCAGGAGCAATACTATTTATATCAGGGGAGTTTTTCCTAAATTATACCACCTAATAGAAATCAGAATCTGGTCTGTTTTGTTTTGTTTTTGTTTTATTGATTGATTAAAATATATTCTTTAATCTTAATGCAGTCAGGCAAATGGATTATTTAAGAGAAACCTGATCAGTGTATGCTACCTGCAGCCTGGTCTTATGATGATTGTTTTTTTTCTTTTTCTTTTAGAGTCAAGTATCCCTGGGTTACTATATTGCAGGCATCTGTAGACCTACTCATAGATCTGAGAGGTGAGGGTGACTCACTCTGCTCTGAGACCCAGTTTGCAAGTATAATCCAATAGATCATTTAGTCTAGTGTCTGTGGCTTCTCATAGAAAAGGGTTTTCATTTGATCCAAAGACTCCCAGAAAAGGGGTTTGATAGTGTTGGTTTTGATTTGACAGAAGTAATCAAATGCAGAAGGCTCTTGATCAGGGCTGGCCCTGGCTTTTTTGCCGCCCCAGGCAAAAAAGCCTCCCACCCCCCTCCGGCGGGAAGCGCGGCAGGGGAGGGCGGCGAGCCCGGCCGGGGCCCCACTCTTCCCGACCGGCCGGAGTGCCGGGAGGAGGGCGGAGAGCCCAGCCGGGGCTCCGCTCTCCCCGGAGGCCAGAGCGCCGGGGGGAGGGCGGCGAGCCCGCCGCAGCTCCGCTCATCCCAGCGCCCAGAGGGCCAGGGGAGGGCGGTAAGCCCAGTCGCGGCCCCGCTCTCGGGCCGGAGCACCGCGCTGCCCCCCTCCAGGTGCCGCCCCAAGCACCTGCTTGGTGGGCTGATGCCTGGAGCCGGCCCTGCTCTTGATATTTAACTGAATATCCTTTGCTACAGATTTATTAGGCATATTGAAAGTTCCTGAAACCTAGAATAATGGCTGAAAGAAAAGACTAGGCAGGCACACCCCATATTCCCTCTGCCAGTCTCTTTTAGACAGCTAGAAGCACCTATCCATTTTATGTCTGCTTTTAGTAACTCCGGCTGACTGCCATTCACTTCTGGGGAAGAGAGCACTTTACTAGCATTGATAACTGGAGCTACTTCCATAGAAAATCCTTTTATGCACATAGCAACACTCCTCTTTTCTTTAATTGATGCCAAGGTAGTTAGGTAATAAATATCAGACATGATTCCCTCAGGTGTTCCACCTTGGCTTCCACCAACAAGCGATCAGAATCCTAAATCAATACTGTTTTTGGTGATTGAGGTAAGTGCCTATGTTATTGGAGAAGACTATAGTGCTATTAAATTTGCTAGGCCAGATCCTGAGGTGGTATAAATCAGCATAGCTCCACAGAACTCAAGGGGGCTATACTCCTTTTTATCACCTGAGGATCTGGCCCACTGTCTCCATTTACGGTAGGATCAAGACTTTTTGCCTGTGGAATTAGTTTAGAAATACAAATTTCTGCCTTTATATAAGTTTGAATCAACCAAAATTGATTCAATTATTGTTGTAGCCCTTGAGGATGTAAATGGAGTATGCAGTTCCTGTTTTAATTGTGACACTCCCAGTGCTGAAATCCCAGTACAATATGTAATGATAAAACGGCATATTCAAACAAGCAAAAAACCCACTTTCATAAGACGAAACAGAAAGGATCACAATTAGTGAAGCGGAAGGCTTAGAAACCGCAGAAAGGCTCTAGTACAGTGGTTTTCAATCCTTTTTCATTTGCAGATCCCTAACAATTTTGAATGGAGGTGCGGACCCCTCTGAAAATCTTAGACATAGTCTGCAGAACCCCAGGGGTTAAAACCACTGTTACAATATATCAAACTGGAATCTTGTTTATAAGAAGTTACAAATAAAACTCTGATGTTAAGACTGTTGGAATTCTTTACTCCCATTGCTTAGAGGTTATCATATGCTAAAGTATGAGTTTATATCTATCTCTTCCAAAACACTTAAGATAAAATCCCCAATGGAGTCAGCAGAGGTATGTAAACGTATAGTATCTGAGGAGCTTTCCTGTAGTTTTTTTGTGTTCTGTTGTTTTTGACAAATTTAATATTTACCATTGTAACGCTATAGTTTTCTTGTCTACATGTCCAATATTTTTTGAACGCTTCTAATCTCTTATACTCAATAACATCTTGCGGTAATGAGTTTCATGGATTAATCATGCATAATTTGCTATCTTGCTACCTTTATTGAATGCCCCCTTGTTCTTATTTATTATGTGTATTACATTAGTGCCTAGATGCCTTAACACAGATCAGGGCCTTTTTTGCTCAGAGCTTTGCTTACAACTCTTAGTCATATCCAGTTCACATTACATATAGCTTACAATTAAACAAGAGTGACAAAGAGTAGGAAAAAAGAAGTGTTATTATCCCATTTTACAGCTTGGATCAGTTTCAAAGAGATATTAAATGACTTGTTTGAAGTCACACAGGGAGAAAACAAATGAACAATTTAGCTACAGTATGTTATTGGTCTTGCATGTATCAGCAAGTGCCAATAGCATCAAGTGATTCTGAGCACTTCGTCTCTTCTTCAACACTTAGCCAGACAGTCGGCCGTAGTGATCGTTCACCATTTGGTCCGTTCCTGCGCAACCGTGAAGGCTTGATGGCCTGAGAGTCCAACATCGGAACAGACTTGATGAACCCATGCAATATGAGGTCTGCCTCTGGGCCATGTCCACTCCTCGGTCGGTGGAATTTTATCCCAGATGTTACAAGTCACCCGGAGAATGGCATTCGCTGGAACGTCTTGTGGCATCCTTGTGACGTGTCCAAAAAGCATAAGGCGCCGCCTGCAGACAATGGCCCTAGGTCTTCAGAGACCTGGGTTTAACCCTTGGTCTGCTACAGACTTCCTGTGTAACATTGGGCAAGTCACTTAGGCCTAGATTCTCAAAGGTATTCAATGGAAATTAGATGCCTAAATTACCTTTGAGGGTCTAGGTTGTTCTTCATCTGTAAGATGGGGGCAAGGGCACTTCCCTATCTCCCAGGGGAGTTGCGAGGATTAATAAATTAAAGAGAAGTTCATAGATACTATGGTAACGAGGCCATTATAGGTACCCAATATAGATAAGCTATAGATCCTTCTTAGCTTATCCAGAAACTGAATACCATTCTCTTGAACAGCCAGACTTCAAGATTCTCTTAGAATGAATTTGATTGGAAAGTCACTGAATTTTGGTGTTAAACATCTATGCTTTACCCTATACCCAGGGATTTGTCCCCCAGAAGCATAAAAAGCCACCAGGTACTAAGTCACTTAGTGCAATTGTCCTCTTGTGTAGCTGAGGAGGTTAAAAGGAGACTAATTTTACATTCAAATTATGCAATGCCTACATCAGGAACTGTGTATAAGAAGGCTAAAAATAACACCCATCACCCACAGAGAGATGGCCCTGCAGAAATCCTTGTTTATCTATCCCCCCAAAAATCTAAGGTGTTTGATCAA